CAGAAGAACAGGATAGGTAGGGGAACACTGAGACAGGTTTGCATGGGCTAAGTGAGGCAGAGGTAAATAGTGATGCATGCTCAACCTTGGAACAACAGGGCTCTGTAATACAAGGATCTAGGCATAGTTTGAAGAGGGGAAATAATACTAAAATGCTTGATTGTCTTATGAATATTGGTTTTCCTTGCCTACTACTGTAAAATAGACACATGAGTGGGATAGAAAGGAATGTTGGGAAACATGATTACAGAAAACTTGTAAGCCAGTCTTTAGCCTACAACTTATTGGAATATCTAAAAGGGGTTCTACAACTTGCCCAGTGAAATAGGCCTCTTCCAAAGCCTTTGCAGAGTATAGGACCTTAGGTGGAATCCTGAGTCCCATCCAGAACCTTATGAGGTGGATCATCACTAACAAGGACAAGCAGACCAGCCTGGAACAGCTAGAGCAACAAAAGATACATCTTCAAAGAAAGATCATCAGGAAAAACCCAAAATAAAAATGTCAGCATGACTAGCTACCACAAGAATAAGCAAGCTGTTCGCCAGGAAGCTAGCAAGGCAAGCAATCAAGTTCCTTCAGGACAAACTCCCCTCTAAGATGGAAACTCAAGGGGAACACATGAACAGGCATCCAAGCTTGCTGGGGACCACATTGGTAAACTGATAAGTGGAAGAGGGGGGAAGGCAGCAGTGAAGAAATGGCTGAGTTCAACTACAGTCCATTGACTCCTGTTGACATGGAGATGAGAGAGAGAAGAGGAAGGGCTGGTTGGTCCAAAGTGTGGTGAGACCTGGGGACACTTGAACCCATGGACAAGGACATAGTCACAGAGGACTAGAGCTGAGAGTAAAGCATCTAACTGATATGAAGTGAGGGGAGATGCACAAGAACACCCAAACTTGCAGACAGCACCCTTTTGACCTAGCCTTGATGGCTTGATAATCAGAACTCAATTAGAGGAAAATTACAAAAAAAAAATTTTTTTTATAAAGGAAACAAGGGTATATTGCTACAATTTGATGAACCTGACCTATATTCATGGAGGCAGTAACTCTAAATACTAACACAAAGGGAAGGAGTCTTCTCACCAAGTATCAATGTTACCCCTCCTGTACACAGGGTAGATAGGGAAGGGCAACTTAGACATTGCCTATATAAAATGAGGGGGTGATAAAGGCACGAAGTGACTGGCTTACAAAGTTTCAAGAGGGAGTTTAGTTTAAGAGTTGGGGGTGGGAAGAAAGAGTCCCCACTGAATAGTTTATCTAGACAACAATAGTTGTTGTCTAAATGGGTCTGGTGAAAAGAGATGGGGATAAGAGTCTTATGATTCAATAGTGAATAACTGTCATCATGACTAATTGTAACTGTCACAATTGTAAAGGTAGAAGTTTTGTAACAAAAACAGGGGAGTGGTTAATCTTACAGTCCAGAAATGGAGGACCCCAGGACCATCAAGGGGGAAGAGCACAAACAGAATGAAGGACCTTATCCAGAGAAGCAGCGATGCCAGAGATGGAGGCAAAGATGGGGTCATGGAGAGGGGGAGCAGCTAAGGACTCTAGATTCATGGGAAGAAAGGGACTAAGAGCTGGTGGCCAGGAGGCTGACTTGAAGAATATGCCCTTTAGAGGTGTAAATTATTATATATGCCTGAATGGTTTTTGTTTTTGTTTTAAATAAGAAAATAAAAAAGCTAAAGTGAATAGAGAGAAATACTGTTAACTGATGGTACCTGGAGGGGATTATAATCATTGTACTGAAACAAGGTGTATGATTTGTTGAATGTAAAACTGATGATCTGCCCTGTAAACTTTCACTCAATCCACAATAAAAAAAATTAAAAAAAAAAAAAACCTCAGAGGACAATAAATGCTGGCAAAGATGTAGAGAGACTGGGCTACTCCTACATTGCTGGTAGGACTGTAAAATGATTCAACCACTCTGAAAATGGTATGGCACTTCCACAGAAAGTTAGAAACAAAATACCTTATAATCCAGCAATTCTTCTACTTAGTAAATATCCACAAGAAGTGCGAGCCAGACCATGAGTAGATATGTGCACACCAATGTTTATCGCAGCACTATTTGCAATAGCAAAAAATGGAAACAGCCTAAGTGCCCATCAATGGAAGACTAGGTAGACAAACTTTAGTGCATATACACAGTGGATACTAGCTTGAAGAATAACAATGAACCTGCAAAACACCTCATAAAATGGATGAACCTTGAAGACATTATGCTGAGGGAAATTAGTCATTCGCAAAAGGACAAATATTATACAAGACCATTACTGTAAAAGCTTAATAAAAGCTCTCCTACTAAAAGAAAAAAATTCTTTGTTGGTTACCAGGGATGGGAGGGAGGGGACAGAAGGGCATAGCTTAGGGGATAGTCACATCATAATTGGGGTGATAGGGAGGGCAATATACAAGGAAGGGGAGGGCAGTATGCGAGAAGTGGGAAGAGGTAGAAGAACAAAGAAGATAGGGCAACACTAGGTTTGTATGGGCTAAATGGGACAGAGGTAAATAGTGATGTATACTCAACCTTGGAACAGGGCTCTATGATACAAGGATCAAGGCATAGTGTGAATGGGTAAATGTGGGGAAATAATGTTAAGGGGCTTGTCTGTCTTATGGATATTGGTTTCCCTTGCCTACTATTGTAAAATAGACATTAAAGTGGGATAGAAAGGAATATCGGGAAATATGATTACAGAAACCTTGTAAACCCATCTTCAGCTTATAAGTGATTGAAATACCTAAAAGGGGTTCTAGAATTTGCCCAGTGAAATATGCTTCTTGTGGAGCCTTTGTAGAGTCTGGGCCATTAGGTGAAATCTTGAGCCCCATCCTTAGGATTTCCTTAGGTGAAATCCTGAGCACCTTCTGAGGTGGGACATTCACACTTGAAAAGGACATGCAGACCAGCTTGGAGTTGCTAGAGGAACAGAAGATGCTTCTTGAAAGAAAGATCAGCAGGAAAAAACAAAAACAAAAATAGCAGTCTGTTTGGCCATTACAAGAACAAGCAAGTTGTTTGTCTGGGAGCCCTTAAGGCAAGCCATCAAGACCCTTCAGGACAAACCCCCTTCCAAGACTGAAACTCAAAGGGAATACACAAGAAGACTTGTAAGCTTGCTAGTGACTGCGTTGGTCTACTAGTGGGTGGAAGTAAGGGAAAGGCAGCAATGAAGACATGGGCTAAGTTTGGCCATGTTCCATAGACTCCTGTCGACCTTGAGATGAGAGAAAGAAGAGGAAGGGCTGGTTAGTCCGAAGTTTGGGGTGACTTGGGAACTCATGGACACTGACCTAGCCATGGGGGGGCTAGAGCTGAGAGTGAAGTATCCAGCTGATATGAAGGGGTGCGCAAGAATGCCCAAACTTGCAGATAGTACCCATTTGACGTAGCTTGAATGGCTTGATAATCAGAACTCAACTAGAAGAAAATAAGCTTGATACAGGAAGCAAGTGTAAATTGCTACAATTTGATGAACTTGACCTTTGTTTATGGATGTAGTTGCTCGAAATATCAACCAAGAAGGAAGGAGTCTTCACATCAAGGATCAAGCCTACCTCCTCAGTACACAGGGTTGATAGGGATGGGCAGCTTAGACATTAACTACCTAAAATGGTGGACTATAAAGGCGCAAAGTGGCTGGCTTACAAGTTATCAAGAGGGAGTTTAGTTTCAGAGCCAGTGGGGGAAGGTAGAATCCCTACTGAATAGTTTTCATCGTGTCCTAATGAATATGGTGAAAAGAGAAGTGGACAGGATTCTTTTGAGTTCAACAATGAGTATTCATTGTCATAATTAACTGTGATTGTCACAAGTGTAAAGGTAGAAGTTGAGAGACAAAAAAGGGAGAGTAGTTATCTTACTTACATTCCAGGAACAGAGGACCCAAACACCATCAAGAGGGAAGAACATGAGCGGAATGTGGGATCCTAACCAGAGAAGCAGCGACACCAGAGATGGAGGCAGAGGTGATGGCAATGAGAGATAGAGCAATTGAAGAATCTGGGCTCATGGAAAGAAAAAGGCTGTGTGCTGGTGGCCAGGAGGTTGGCTTGCCAAGTGTGCCCTTTGGTTGTTTAAATGGTTATATATTCCTGAGTGTTTTTGTGTATACTGAAAAAGAGAGAGAGGAAAAAAAAGAGGGAATAGCAGCAAAAACTGTTAACTGATGATGCCTGGAGGGAATTGTAATCATTGGAATGAAACAAAACACGATAGGTTGAGTGCAAAACCAATGTTCTGCCAGGTAAACTATCACTCAATTCACAATAAAAGCTTTTTTTAAAAAAAATGTTTTTGTTAAAAGCCATCAAATCAGTCTAACTCAAAATGACCCCCAAGTTGGTTCTGATTCAAAGCAATCTCATATAGGGTTTCCAAGTAGCAGCTGGTGGATTTGAAGCCTGACCTTGTTAGCAATCCAGTGTTTACCCTACAGTGCCACGCCAGGACTCCTTAAAGTATGAGGGAGCTTCAAAAAGTTTATGGAAAAAATACATTATCTTTTAATTCTAGTTTTCTACAAACTTTGAAGCCTCCTCATATAAACAACAATATACAAATAAGACACGGCAGCTGATTTGAGAAATCCAGCGATTCAAAGAGTTTGACAATTCAAGGAATTAAAGAACTAGAATAGTGAATAGAGGGAGTGACAAATGTGAACATTTGTTCATAATTTTACATTTAAATAGCCACCCAAGTTCAATAGTTGATTGGCATCAATGTCTTAAATTCTTCTTTTCAGAAAATAATCTCACTTGACTTGAGAGCACTGTGGGTTTACTGTTGAGTTACTAACTACAAGTCAGCTGTTTAAAATCACCAGCCCCTCCACAGGAGAAAGATGGTTGATCCTGTAAAAATTTACAGTCCTGGGAAATCTATAGTCACTATAAGTAGGAATTGACTCAATTGCAGTGGGTTTGGCTTGAATGAGCCTAAACTAAATGGTTAATTCTTTTATCCTGTAGAGTAGACAACAAACTCCAAACTTTAGAAGCACAATTCAAAGAACTGGACTTCGCCAGGGACAACCTTACACAGAAATTTGAATATCATAGCAAGACTTTGGCAAGTCAGGCAGTCCAAGATGAGATGTGGACAGCAGTTCTGGGCCTTAAGTGAGTATTCAATAAGAAATTAATATAATTTTGTGATTTTGTGAGAACTTGCATTGGACATTCCAGAATTTCTTAGTATGGTTCTATAATTTCACAAGTGGGGAAGAGGTGAGTTGTCATCAACATTAACTCAAAGCCAGTCCCTATGAGGTAGAGATCAACCATGCTTTCAACGTTTTCACCAATTCTGACACCAGCTATCTCTCCCTGACTCTATTTTTCTGCTGGGTTTGATAATTCACTGCAATCACTGCACAGAACTCACAGATTCTGGGCTTTATAAGGATGTGAACAGGTTACATACAATCCAGGATCAGAAATACTCAGAATATTCTTCAATCAGGATAACCTCTTCTTAGCCATACCTGCAGGCATGCCTCTCTTGGATCCTGGGTCCTTGGCCTGGACCCCACCCTGCTCCATCAAATTTTGCAAAGCTCTTTTAGTTCTGCCCATTATGTGCCTTGAGGCACCCCACTCTGCCAGTAAGCCTCATCCTGAAGAAGCTCTAGCTCCATGAGTTGAAAACCTAGCTCCCTAGAAGAGTACCGGTAGGCATACCACTCTATCAGTAAGCCTCCTGCCCAAAGACACTCAGTTTTCTCACTTTGTGAACTGGGAAGCCCACCAATCTGCCTTGCACTGTCTTCTGGCTCGGCTGCCTCTGCTTCTCACTGTCTCTCGCTGCCTTCAGTATCACAGGTCTCTGTTTCCTCCATCAAAGAGACTTAGCACAGGAATCTTGGGTCAAAAGGATGTACTCCACTCCTGACTCTTCTTTCTTGATGGTTGTGAGATCTGCCTTTCTATTTCTGAGATGGCTCATTTTAAGCATAGTAAGGAGCTCTGGTAGCATAGTGGTTACGAATCAGGCTGCGAACAGCAAAGTCAGCAGTTCGAAACTACCAGCCACTCCGCAGGAGAAAGATGAGGCTTTCTGCTCCCCTAAAGCCTCGGAAACCCTGTACAGGGTCGCTATGGGTCGGAACCGACTCGATGGCACTTAACAACAACAACAACAAGATAGCAAAATTAACCAATACCCTCATGAGGGTTCCATAAGCTGATCCTTGCAAACCCTATACAAGGTCACTATGAGTTGGAACCAACTCAATGGCACTTCCCAACAACATACCTTATTTGTATGGTTCTACCCTACCAGGGTGCCTTGTACTTATTTACAGTATTAGTAAGTTATCCAGTCCCTTTGGTGGGGTCACAGGTGCTTCACATCTGCATAGTCTTACTCAGTCGTTTGGTAAAAGTTACAAAGACTATGGCTAGAAGGGCCATATCAAATAATTCACTGCTTCACAGGTTTCAGCAACATAAAGAAATTATATTTTCTAAAGGTTTACTAATTCAAAAATGTTAAATTTGAGAGCCTGTTTATATGTCGGCACTGTGTTACACGCCTCATCATAGAAGTTCTTGCTTATCAAAGTCTTATTAACACAGTGATGGATAATATAATTCCTCTGTCATTGACAAACTTACAATATGGTGACCTGAGAGCTAAGCTGACTAGTCTAGTACAGGCTCTATTTCTAAATAAGTACTGTCTAAAATGCAACAAAGGAGCTCTGGTAGCGTGGTGGTTACGAGGCTGGCTGCTAACCTCAAGGTCAGCTAATTTGAAACCACCAGCGGTTCTGCAGGAGAAAGATGAGGCTTTCTGCTCCCATAAATATTCACAGCTTTGGAAATCCTATACAGGGTCACTATAAGTTGGCCGACTCCATGGCACATCACCACCACCACCGAAATGCAACAGCTGGTTTCCCTAGTGGGTTTGTGTTTCTTTATGCTATCCTCACAGAGTTCATTTTATTTTTGTGCATAAAGAATTCTACTGGTTAAGAAGTTTTTCATATTTTTTTATAGGTTCACTTCAGTGGAACTGAATGTTTTATACAGCTATGTCATTGAAGTACTCATTTGCTTGCACACTCATATACTTGAGATGCTGCCAGACTTGGTGAGAAGTCTTCCCACATTAACCTCTGTCCTTAGATGGAAAGCCAAGAACAAGCACCTAAGAATCGTGTGGGAGTCTGTCCTGGAGGAGTTTGGGCTTCAAGAAGGAGATATCACAGCACTCTGTACCTTCTTTGTTGCATATGGCAACAAGGCAGAATACTACCCTGCTAAAATGAGAAAGATGTACATCAGAGATGTCACGTTCATGATCACTAACATGGTAAAGAACCAGGCTTTGCAGGATGGTTTGCTGAGGGGTGTTCAGGTAATTGAAAAGGGGAAAGCAGTGAGGGCCTCCAAAGAGCAAAAGTCATCGCTAAAAGACTTGATACCATCAGTCAAAAAATAACATGGTGTACCTAAAATGAGAGGGCGATAAAGGCACTAAGTGACTGGCTTACAAGGTTTCAAGAGGGAGTTTAGTTTAAGAGTGTGCAGGGGAAGATAGAGTCCCCACTGAATAGTTTTCATCTTGTCTAGATAGTTCTGGTTAAAAGACATGGGGATAAGATTCTTATGATTCAACAGTGAGTAATTGTTATCATGACTAATTGCAACTGCCACAACTATAAAGGTAGAAGTTTTGTAACAAAAACAGGGGGATAGTTAATCTTATAGTCCAGAAACAGAGGACCCTAGGACCATTAAGGGAGAAGAGCACGAGTGGAATGTGGGACCCTATCCTGAGAAGCAGGGACACCAGAGATGGAGGAAGAGATAAGGACATGGTGAGAGGAAGCAGCTGAGGACTCTAGACTAATGGAAACAGAAAGACTGAGAGCTGGCAGCCAGGAGGCAGGCTTGCAGAATGTGCCCTTTGGTTGTTTAAATTATTATATATTCCTGAGTGTTTTTGTGTACATCTCCTCCTCCCCCGAGAAGAAAATTAAATAACATGGTACCCTATCTCCTTCTAGTAATTTATCCACTTCTAGTAATTTCTCTTGCAAAAGGAAGAAAAAATATATGCATAAATTTATGTGCTAGAGGTTAATAAAAGTGAGGGGGATGTTAAATTGAGATAATTTGATATAATAAAAACTTTTTGTGTGCTGTTGTTGTTGTTGTTAGGTGCCATCGAGTCACTACCAACTCATAGCGCTTGATGCACAGCACAACGAAATACTGCCTAATCTTGGGCCAACCTCACTATTGTTACCATGTTTGAGCCCATTGATGCTGCCACTTGGCCAGTCCATCTTACTGGCAGTCTTCCTCTTTTTCACTGACTCTCCACTTTACCAAACATAATATCCTTCTCCAGCGACTGGTCCTTCCTGACAATATGTCCGAAGTAGGAGAGACAAAGTTTGGCCATCCTGGCCTCCAAGGAGCACACTGGCTGCACTTCTTCCAACACAGATCTGTTGGTTCTTTTGGCACCCCATGGCACTTTCAATATTCTCCTTCAACTTTTTGTATAGCTACATAAAAAACCATAACTTTTTGTATAGCTACATAAAAAATTAAAGCTTTTTATGCAATAATATGTTGTTATCACCAAGATAAATTATTGTTTTTAAAATATTTCTGCCCAATATATTGTTAATGGAGTCCTGGTGTGGCACTGTAGGATATGCACTAGACTGCTAGCCAAAAGATCCATGGTTCAAGCCCACTAGCCACTCCTTGGAAGCCCTATACTTAATAGCACTTAAGAACAACAACATATATTGCTAAGTGGGGGGAAAATGACAAAAACAAATGCATATGCATTGTTGTTGTTAAGTGCCATCAAGTCAGTTCTCACTCATAGTGACCTTGTATAAGATTTCCGAAGAGCAGCTGGTGAGCTTAGACTGCCAATCTTTTCAGTTCAAACTGGCCTTGCATTCCAGCACAAAGGCATATACATATGAGCTTACTTATCCATAAATTCATGCCCATAATCAGGCCTCTCTCTGGCCTTGAACCTTCAAACCTCTTGGGCTGACCCAGCCTCTGTCCTGCTCTTACAAAGCTACTTAGCTCCATCAATATATGCCCAGAGGCACTCCACTCCACCAGCAATCTCCTGCCCAAAGATGCTTAGCTTTCTTGATCCATGGGCCAGGAAGTCCACCACGCTGTCTCCTGCCAATCTTCTGACTGCTACCTCTGCTGCTGCTATTTCTCTATCACTACTTCTGCCATCACTCACCGCCTCTAGTCATCTCCAGTGTTACAGTTCTCTCTTTTTCTCCTGGGTTTAAGAGGTTTTCAGCACAGGGAGCCCAGATCCAAAAGATGTTCTATTCTCCTGGTGCTTCTTTCTCAATGGCAATCCAGGTCCACTCGCTCTGCTCACTTTTATCTCTTGAAAAATAAAAGGTGGGACTCAAGCAAAGGTGGTGAATTGAGTGTATCCCATGCTAAATCTGTCTCATTAACATAACAAGCAAGACCCAGTCCAGCCTCATTAATACATAGGTCAAAATTTTCAATACACACAATGGAAGATAATTATATCAGATCATATAACAGAAGACAACCACACAATACAGAGAATCATTAGGCCATGATTGACACATAACCCCAACCATCACAAGTTCCATACACCTTATTTGTATGGTCACACCTGATCTTTGAGTGGAAGTCACAAACATACAGCCAAAAGTGCCATGTTAACTAATCCATTGCACCACAGTTATCTACTCTACTGTTTTCAATTAGTCAAAGTTTGAACCATGGGGAGTGTCTCAATTATCAGTTCAAGCTCACCAGCTGCTCTTTGGAAACCCTATACAGGGTCACTATGGGTCGAAATCCATTCAACGATACTTAACAACAACAACTCTATAACAGCTTTAACAAACAGAAATTTATTCTCTCACAGTTTGTTGTTGTTAGGTGCCATCGAGTCAGTACTGACTCATAGCAACCTTATGCACAGCAGAACAAAACACTGCCTGACCCTGGACCAACCTCACTACTGTTGTCACGCTTGAGTCCATTGATGCTGCTACTTGGCCAATCCATCTCGTTGGGGGTCTTCCTCTTTTGCTCTGATCCTCCACCTTACCAAACATGATAGCCTTCTCCAGCGACTGGTCCCTCCTGACAATACGTCAGAAGTAGGAGAGACGAAGTTTGGCCATCTTGGCCTCCAAGGAGTACTCTGACTGCACTTCTGCAAAAACAGATCTATTGGTTCTTTTGGCAGCCCATGGCACTTTCAATATTCTCCTCCAACACCATTACTCAAAAGCATCAATTCTATGGTCTTCCTTATTCACCGTTCAGCTTTCGCATGCATATGAGGTTATTGAAAATACCATGGCTTGGGTCAGGTGCACCTTAGTCTTCAAGCTGACATGTTTGCTCTTCAACACTTTAAAAAGGTCTTGTGCAGTAGATTTGCCTAATGCAATACGTCGTTTGATCTCTTGACTACTGCTTCCATGAGTGCTGATAGTTGATCCAAGAAGAATGAAGTCCTTGACAACTTCAATCTTTTCTCTGTTGATAAGAATGTTGTTTATAGGTCCGGTGGTGAGGATTTTTGTTTTCTTGACATTGAGATGTAATCCATACCAAAGGCTGTGCTCTTTGATCTTCATCAATAAATGTTTTCGGTCCTCTTCACTTTCAGCAAGCAAGGTTGTATCATCTGCATATCACAGGTTGTTCATGAGTCTTCCTCCAACCCTGATGCCATGTTTTTCTTTATATAACCCAGCTCTCTGATTATTTGCTCTGCTTACAAGTTGAATAAGTATGGTGAAAGAATACAATGTTGTCGCACAGCTTTCTTAATTTTAAACCATTCAGTGTTCCCATGTTCTCTTCAAACAACTGCCTCTTGGTCTATGTACAGATTCCTCATGAGCACTATTAAGTGTTCCAGAATACTCATACTTCACAATGTTATCCATAGCTTGTCATGATCCACACAATCGAAAGCCTTTGCGTAGTCAATAAAGTACAGGTAAACATCTGTCTGATATTCTCTGATTTCAGCCAAGATCCATCAGACATCAGCAATGATATCTATCCCTTGTTCCATGGCCTCTTCTGAATCCGGCTTGAACCTCTGGAAATCCTCTGTCAATGTATGCTGGCAGCTGTTTCTGTATTACTTTTAGTAAAACTTTACTTGCATGGGATATCAAAGAGATTGTCCGATGATTTCCGCATTCCATTGGGTCCCCTCTCTTTGGAATGGGCACAAATATGGATCTCTTCTAATCAGTCGGCCAGATAGTTGAGATGGGTAAAAGTCTAAAGTCATACTGCCAGCTCTTGGGAAAGCTTTTTCTTTCAGATGGCTCACAGTTTTGGAGGAAGGCCCATAAATCTTTTCAACATGTGTAGGCCCAGCATTTCTTGGAGATGACCATGTGTCCTGGCATTGTTCTTCCCTGGGTCTAGAAGGTTCACAGTACAGGGATCATGTATCCAAAGAACACACTCCTCTCCTGGCTCTTCTTTCTTAGTGGTAATAAGGCCTTCTCTCTTTGCTCACCTTTTTCATCTTTTTCCTCTTGTAAGATAAAAGGTATTCCAGGCCACATCCCAGGGAAATTAGCCTTATATTAATTATATCATGACTATAATGGGATTAAATTTGCTGCAGAAAACCCTTTCATTGGTTTATCACATTAGATTACATCTGGGAGATCCTCTCATAACGGCCACATTACATCATTACATAACTGCCAAACCACTAAGAATCATGGCCAAGTCAAGTTGACACAGATTTTGGGGAAGAAACAATTCAATCCATAACAGGGAGTTGCCTTATCCACATAATTCTTAACCACTCTCAGCCCAGAAAACTTTTCCACAAAAATAGAAGAGAAATATGTTTTATTATTTAATAAGCATCGAAGCAGAATTATTAAAATATGCTGAAGAGATTTGCAAAGAGAGAAAGAAATCATATCCTTAATATAGTTCAGTAGATAGGTAGATACTCAATAGAAAGGTAGATACCATACCACCCTGAATGCACCCCATCTCATCTGATCTTGGAAGCTAAGCAGGGTCTGGCCTAGTTAGTCCTTGGATGAGAGAACACTGGGGATACCAGGTACTGTAGTCTTAAACTGTTTGTCATACTATGGTGGCTTGTATACAGCTGTGATACAGGAAGTTATACCACAACAGGATGACCCATTATTTCAAAATCTATCTTGAAGTATAATGCTGCCTGTGATAGGATAAAATCCATATGCCTACAATGGAGACTAATTAATATCACTATTATTCAAATGTATGTACCAATCACTAAAGCCAGTATGATGAAACTGAAGAATACTAAGGAGCCCTGTTAGCATAGTGGTTACAAATCGGGCTGCTAACCTAAAGGTCATCAGTTTGATACTACCAGCTGCTCCATAGGAGAAATATGAGGCTTTCTGCTCCTGT